TGAAGGACCCGGCCCACGTAGACCGCTAAGGCCGGGTCCTCCGAAGGATGCAGCCGACATTTTGGGACACAGCTTCACGCAAACATCCCCAAAGGATCACGAGCCCGAAGTGTTTCGCTGCTAACGCCCTTCACGATGGCCTTTTCTGTCCCCTCCTGAACTTAGCGGTTCTATCTGAGTGTGACGTGTGGGGGACTCCTCTATCAGAGCCTGAATCCTCTTTGACAAGATCCTTTCCCACAGGAAGTAAGTTGCGCCATTCCCTCCACATTACGCTGCACTTCCCCGTCCCTGTGAAATTAACACACAGATGGATCAGCTCAGCTCATCATCCTGAGAAATCTGCAAACTGACCTGATCAAACAGCTGTGTGCCAATAATGCTCCCCTCCCCGTTCTAAACAGCCATCGTTTCATTTCATCAGTCATTTCACGAGCACGTGATTCAGCGTCGGTTGTAACACGAGAGACGTTCAATAAGTTTCCGTCATTGGGCACCAACCCTTGCCTGCATGCATTTGGGCTGATGGGGGCTGAATGTTCTGTGTTGCATGGTGGGTAATTTGGGACGATCCCCCCTCGTGTTGTATCTGGAATACAATGGTGCCTGTCGTTGATAGATCCAAACGTTCATCTTGTGTTGGCTTATTTTCTTCATTCATTTTTTCCCTTTGTTGTCGTTTGCGCCTTGAGTCAGACTGTATGCAGCCCATCACCAGGTGCAGTGATGTGAAACAGGTAATTATTGCATTCATTGTTAAACTTGTGATATACTTGCAGCTCCACCTCCACTTCCACCCAAGAATGTCCCAGCTTCTCCACCAAATACTAGCCCTCCGCCTGCAGATGATGCTGGTAAGAATCTGCTCATCTGTTTCTGCCTCCCGTTAAATCGCCTCAAACTGAAACAAGCTTTTAAATTTGACCTCAGTCGTCTGTTTATCTTGATGTTCCGGTGCTAACTTTGTCAGTCTGTTTGTCTCCCTGTGATCTTTTATCTCCTTGCTGAGCACATCTGCAAACACCTCCCCCCTTTTCTTTTTTAAATTGCTCCTCCCTTATCTCTGTTTCAGAAGTGTCTGCAGGAGCAGACAGCTCAGCCAGGAAGCCTTCAATAGCCGACTTGGACAACATTTTTGGACCGGAGCAGGCTGCCCCTGCCTGGGAGGATGCGGGTGACTCGTGGGTTTGCTTCAGCGAAGAAGCTCCTGACCAGCCGCCTCCACCAAAGGACCCTGCACCTCCCCTCCCCTCCTCCCCACCTCCTCCAGAAGAACCAGCACCTCCATTACCAGCCTCCTCTCCTCCACCTGTGCTTCATGCCCCACCCTTACCTACATCACCACCTCCTTTGGAAGACTTTGCACCACCTCTGCCTACTTCACCTCCCCCAGAAGATGATTTTGTTCCCCCTCTACCAACTTCCCCACCTCCCTCAGAGGAACAAGTCGTACCTTCAGTCCGTTCGGGTCCTCCCACTCCCAAAGACCAAAACCCTCCCACGCTCGCCACCTCTCCGTCTCCTGCAACAAAGGAGCTTTCATCTCCTCCTGTTTCCTCCCCTCCTCCTCTTAGTTCACCTCCAAGTGTCCCACCTGCACCCACCCCCAAAATAAGCACTCCAGCACTGACGCCTCCTTCCGAGGAGCCTGCGGCTCGCTCCGTCCCGCCGCCTCTTGTCCTCTGTCAAGAAGAGAAGCCCAACAATACAAGCACCACCCATCCCAAAGAGGATGGAGGTGAAACTGTCACTTCGCCCAAAGATGCAATCCAAGGCAGTAGAAGTACACCTCCGCCACCACCTCCTCCAACGTACCGCGCAGTGGTTTCATCACCAGGTCCCACATCTGGGGCCGGCGGCACGAATAGCGGTGAGCGCTTCAAGATCCTCACTTAAATATATTTGTTGGGTTAAAACTTAATTTAGAGGATGGTTTACAAGAAATATTCTCACTACAATGAAAAGAAAAAACCCACACGTCACCTGATCACTTAACTGCTCATTTTAATGGTGTCATTGCAAACAGACAGTGACAGTGTTGTGAGCTGAGGCATCATGTCAGCAGTGCACCCTGCTCAGATTTTCTTTCAGCTGATTGCACCACTTTTGTTGGAACTTGCATCACAGGAACAGTTATCCTGCATGTTCTTCCTGGAAAAGAGGTCATGTTTTGGCCCAGATTTATGTACAATAGCATTTTGCCTCAGAGCGTATTATGTTACCAGCGCCTTTTTCTTTCACGTTTTATAAAAACTTGACTTGCTTAGAATTTCTATGCTTTTTGTTGCATTTTTAGTGCCTTTTTTTCTTTGTTTGTTTTTTAGCTTTTTGCTTTTTGACCCGTCCTTGAGCTGCCCAATATGTGGGAAACGTGGACAAAGACAGCAGTGTGGGCGGTTTTGTTTTGTTAGGTTAATTGTACTGAGCCAGTGTCCAAAAGAAGTGGATGTAACGATGTGGCGTAAAAGGAGCTCTTCGAACGAGGAATAAAACTGATCAAATTTCCTCTCGAGTTTTCAAAATGAAATGTTTGAACATCTGAGCGGAATCATTTTTCCAGTTCCGTCAATGGTGAAAGAGACTCGAGAGAAAGCAGGTAGAGGGATGTGTGCTCTTAATGCTGTATGGAGGATATGAGGTGTGTAGTAGATCACGACAGCGATCCTGTGAAGTGAAAAATGAAACAACACTTCTTACTGAGTGCTGATGGCACTCTGTCCTTTTGTTTAGTCGTTTTCCAAACTGAATAATTAAATTAATCCCTTTTGTGTTTTTTGCGCGCCTCTTCAGGTTCCTCTTCACCCGTACGACCTGCCACACCGTCGTCAGTCAACCCCACCCCACCTCCCCCTCCACCTCGTCCCCCTTCACGACCCAAACTTCCTCCAGGGAAACCTAGTGTAGGCGATGCGGTAAGACCTTTTTTTGTTGTTGTTTTTGTTTTCATTTTGTCACTCTTATATCTTTCAGTTCTTTGGTTCTGATTCGGGGATTTAGGCATTATTTACATGGCCTTTGAGTCTAGGAAGAACTGGCAAAAGAATAATCATTAAGTCGACTATCTTAATCAGGGTTTAACTTGATAATCCCAAAGAGTTTATAGCGGCTGTGTACATAGTATTTAAAATGCCACATGCTAAACCGCTTCTTGTTTCCTTCCCGTCTCTCGTCTCCTTTCTCTGTTCAGAATCGCCCATTCAGCCCACCGATTCACTCGGCCAGCCCTCCTCCCATTGCTCCGTTGGCGAGGGCTGAGAGCACCTCCTCCATCTCCTCCACCAACTCGATGAGTGCCGCCACCACTCCTACCGTGGGCAAGGAGCTCTCTGTGTCTGTAACAGGTGTGTGGACCATCCGTTCAACACTGCAGCACGTCTCCTGATGGATGTGGAGGTCACAGAGGCTAGCAGGGGCATCTTCTGTCATTATATTAAAAGTTTTACATGCATTTTACGAACTTTGCATGTAGCGTTTGTGTGCATGAGTCATGCACCTGTGCATTTACTCATTTTATTTGTTTTGGTTCTTTTTTTTCTGGAAATGGCAGCAGTTTCACCTTTGATGTTGTTTTACAGCATCTAATTATCACAGAGCGAAACCTTCTACAAACATGCAAATGATCGTTTTCTGTTTACATTTCTATTTATTGATAAAGAATTAATTACACCTAAAGATAAGAGTCCTGAACTTCACACACACACACACA